ATTAAGATTATGTGGACATTTCACATGTATTTCACATTTAATTTATCAACTTGGGTGGGAGATCTAGGTTACTTCTCTAAAACTAGTAGAGCAGGCACTTTAAAGACAAAGAAATCTAAATATCACGATAAGACTGCATGTTTGAAGAATGCCATTACCACACTTAATTGACCTACATACATATATGTATTCTTCAAATATATGCGTCACATATTTCAAAATCATAAAAGACGTGTCCACAAATTTGTGAAGGTTAAATCCGACTTTGTGTTTTCTGACCATGTTGTTGTGAGTCAGCTCCATCCCTCATGGGTCCCAGGCACAACACAGTGAGGGCCCGCTGGTTCCTGTGCCAACTTCCTGCACCATGATCCCATCTTAATCTGCTTAAGCCATGTTGAAGCCATGAATGAGACAATCCCTCTTGCTAAATTTCTTTCTCTCATAGGTTTAGAAGTTAAAAATTACCTTCCAGATAACCCATGGGTCAAAAATACAAATTTTTAAAAATATTAGGAATCAGATTATTGGACATTAGTAAACTATGCTGAGCTGGATGATGACTAATATACTGCATATCAGAATTAATGGAGTGCAAGTAAAATTGTACTTGAAGTGAAATGCACAATTGAGAATATGTTGTTGTTGTTATGTGCCATCAGATTGCCTGCTACTTTTAGTGACCTATGTTCAATAGCTCTGAAGCCTGCCCTGTCTTGAGCCAGTCTCACTGACTCTGACACACCAACACCCATTCCCCAGTGTCAATTCATCTCTTCTGGGGTCGGTCTTCCTCCCCTGCACTGTCCCTTCACCCTCTTGAGCATGCTATCCTTCTCAAGGATCAGTCCCTCTTGGCCCCAAGGAGAAGCTTTTCACCCTCTCCAAGACAGACCTATTTGTTTTCTTGGTTGTCCAAGATATGTTCAACATTCTTCTCCAACACCACAACTCAAAGGCATCAATTCTTCTCTTGTCATCCTTAGTCATTATCCAGCTCTCCGATACATAGCAAGTAATAGACAATGAAACAAAAAGAAGATATAAGGAAAGCAGTAATAAAGGTGGGAGCAGAAATTAATAGATAAACATCTAAGGAGAGTATTGGTTCTGTAACCAGAACAGTCAGTGGATTGAGATGGTGACAGCTGCAATGGGCTTTTGTGTGTCAGGAAGTATGAGGATGGCGCAGGATAGAACAGGGTTCAGAACTTTTGTTCCTAGGGTCACTATGAGTTATACTCAGCTGGATAATACTTAACAGTAACAATCAGAACTAATACATTTAACAGTGTTTCTGGGTATATGGTCATGACACAAAATCCAGTCTTTTATATATACAGCTATCAAAAAGCTTTCTTTGTTCTTTGAAAAGAACAAGAGTTATTACCACCGGACCTATAGGTAGCATCCTGATACATGGAAAAAAGGTTGAAATTGTCAGCAACTTCATCTCACTTGGATCCACTGTCAACACCTTCGGTATCAGTAATCAGGAAATCAGGAGATGTGTTGCACTGGGAAGGCCTGTAGTTAAGGACTTCTCCAAATTTCTGAGGAGTAATGATGTCAGTTTGAGGGGTAAGGTGCATCTCAATCAGGCCATGGTCTTTCCAATCACTTGATATGCATCAGAGAGCTGGACACTGATTAGGGATGACAGAAGAATTGATGCATTTGAGCTGTTGTTGGGGAAGAGTACTGAACATCCCTTGGATGGCCAAAAGAACAAACAGATATGTCATGGAGAAAATGCAGCCAGAGTGCTCCTTGGTGGCAAAGATGATAAAGCTTTTACCTCACATACTTTGGGCATATTGCTAGGAGAAGTTATTCCTTGGAGAGGGACTTGATGCTCAGAAAATTAGAGTGTTAGTGAAGGAAAGGAAGACCCTCGACCAGCTGTGTTGACACAGTGACTGCTGCAGTGGGCTTCAGAGAATCAGGAAGTGTGACTTGGCACAGGATAGCACAGGGTTGCTATGAGTCACACATGACTCGATGGCCCCTAACAACAACAGTCACAGAGCTTGTTGTTGTGCTGTAAAAAAGACTTAACTGTGGTAGCAGTAAAAAACCTGTCTCATACCTAAGGATAAATCTAATTAAAGATGTTGGAGCTACCTATACAGAAACTACCAGACATTTAAATGTTACGCAAACAAATGGTGTTATATACTAGCCATATAGAAGTCTACTTAGAGTAGCCCCTCTCCCTAGATTGATGTGTCAGCTTCAGTGACACCTCAGTCAACACCCTAACAAGCTGAGCGTGTTACTGTAACCACAAACAAAGGTCTGAGAATAGCTGCGGCAATAATGAATGCCAGCGTGGGGAGGACATGCTCTCTGGTGGCTCTCAGGACTGGGCATAAAGCCACAAGTAATCAACACTTTGGTGTGGATGTGTAGAGGTAAGCCTCTTGAGGAGTAGGATGAGATAGAGGGTCTATTTGGACACTTAAGAAACAGTCTACTTGCAGCATAGTTAGTGGACAGTGCTGGGTAAATTAGATGGCCATGTCGGAGCTGGGGAGGGGACTTGAACCCTCTCTCACACCATAGGTAAAGATTGGTATCAAATGGTTAAATATGGTAGAAATAGAAAACTGTAAAACTTCTATGAGGTCACATATGATAATATTTTCATGACTGTGAGACTGAGAAACATTTCTTAAGCTATTGAAAGCACTAACTATAAATTAACAAATAGCTTATTTGACAGAGTAAAAATTTAAAGCCTTCTGTTTATCCAAAGATACAGGCTAATTTTCAAAATGGGAAAAGATATTTTTAACACATCAAGTCAACAATGGGATAATATATAGAATATATATTTGCTTGGCTCCACAGTCAGCACTCTTGGTACCAGCAGCCAGGAAATCAGGAGATGAATTGCATTGGGAAACTCAGCTGTGAGGGACCTCTCCAGAGTACTGAAGAGCAACAAAATCAGGCTGGAGACTAAGGTGTGCCTGATCTGGGCTATAGTTTTTGCAGTTACGTGCTATGCATCGGAGAGTTGGACAGTGACTAGGGATGATAGAAAGAGAATTGATGCCTTTGAGCTGTGGTGCTGGAGAAGAGTGTTGAATATACCATGGACTGCTAGGAGAACAAACTGGTTTGTCCTGGAGAGGGTGAAGCCAGAGTGCTCCCTAGAGTCAAGGATTTGTCTGACATACTTTAGTCATGTTTCAAGGAGGGACTGGTTCTTTGAGAGGGTCATCATGTTTGGGAGAGTGGAGGGACGGCACAGGAGAGGAAGACCCTCGATGAGATGGATCGATTTAGTGATTGGAGTGGTGGGAGTAGGTGTGTTGGAGACAATGAGGTTGGCACAGGATAGAGCAGGGTTTAAGGCATAGGGTACATAGGGTCGCTATGAGTCGCAAGCGACTCAACGGCACATAACAACAACAGCAACACCACATTAAAATAGTAGATTCATTGGTAATGAAGGCAGTGCATACCTTTGATTTATGCCCACCAAAATGGCTAAACTGAAAGCTGACAGTCCCAGTTGTGATCATGTAGTATTTGGCGTAATGGAAGCTGTGATACGCTGCTGGGAAAGTGTAAATTGATGAAACCAATTTGGAAAGCTCTTTGGCATTATATACTAAAGTTAGACATGAGCATAGCCATCTATTCCTGGGTACATCTATTCCTAACAACAATCTGTGCTTGTGTAGACCAAAAAACCTGTAGTAGAATGCTCATAGCACCAGTCTTTGTGAAAGCCCCAGACTTGAAATATATTGACAGGAGAATGGATAGGTAAATGGAGTTGATACAGTGGTATTGGATTCCCTGGCTGTTGATTTTAAGTACTCAGTCATTAGCCACAAAGCTGATGTGGCTTTAGCTCACCTAGATGGAGTTTTGGTGGCCTAATGGCAAAAAGCTGTGCTGTAATCCTGAAGGCATGTGGTTCTAATCCACCAGCTGCTCTGCGGGAGTAGGATCACCATTCTCCTTTTATGCTATTAACTGCCTCTGAAAACGCGCTGGAGGGGTCCGCTGTGGTTTGGTCAGCACACAACAACAGACATCTCAGAATAAAGTCCTGGAGCTCACAGCCCCTTCCAACTCCGTGGACCACAGTTCTGCTAGGATAGGTAAAGTTACCAAATTGTGACACCTGATTGATTGTTGCTTAGGTAGACAGTTTAGTACCACAGTGAGATTGAAATGAACACACATGGCACATGTATGATTCATAATGTAATTTCAGGGAAAAGGATAATACTTATTGTGTAATTAAAATATGAAGATTGGCAGGAAGTAATCTGTGATGTTTGAAATAGGACTGATTCCTTTTGGGGAGACAGGAGGATTTACAATTTGTGTTAATGTACTGTTTTTTAATTAGGGTACTGGCTGTTTGGGAATATTCGTTGAGCTATACATTTTTCTATATTTGTAATATTTTCACAAAAAGTTAACACACACATATAAGCATACATATGTGTGTGTGCATGTAAAATCAGGGACATAGATTTTCTTTCTGCTCATTTACTGGTTGTTTTTTTTTAATTTTTATTATTAATTTCAATGAAAATTTACAGAGACTTTGGATTTCCATTCATTCATTGTTGCACTCCCCCCCTCATACACTCCCCTCTTGGAAAAGTAAAAGAAAAATTCTTTCATTGTTTTAAGGTAGCGGTCAGCCAGCTTGGCTTTTGTCTCATAATTTTCTCCTGGATAATTTTCATAGCCATTTTTGCCAAGGTCTGTTAGTGGCAGGTTGGAATGAATATATCCAATCCAGATATGTTGACTTGTCCTTCATTTTGCCTTTATTAGAGCTCTTGTAGTGTAGGCAGTAGGGTGTAGTGTGTGTGGTAGTTCGAATCCACCAGCTCCTCTTAGTGAGAAAGATGGGAAATCTCCCATGTAATGTACAACCTCTGACAGCCTGCTGGACTGTCAGCTGTGAGATGATTCCACTTGATAGCAATGAGTGAGTTTAACTAAGAATTACTGTCTTTTAGGTGGTGATAAATTGTGCCATTCCTAAGGGGTTGAAGTACAATCAAGCTACACAGACTTTCCACCAGTGGCGAGATGCTAGACAGGTGTATGGTCTCAACTTTGGCAGCAAAGAGGATGCCAATGTCTTCGCAAGTGCCATGATGCATGCCTTAGAAGTGTTAAATTCACAGGAAACAGGTAAGGGATTGCTGGTTTACATTTATCTATAGTGAAACAAATGCTTTTGACTACCTTTTAAATAATATACATGTTAGAACGAATCCATGAAATTCTGTTGCTTGTTACAAAAATGTAGACTCGAGTTTGAACTCTGAAATTATTTAGTACTGTTCATTTCTCCAAACTGCGATGGCAAGAACTAGCTGCCGCAATTCCGTAGGTAAGAAATTGAGTCTCTTTGCTTGAAGGTGTTTAGGGATGCCCTCAGGTGGCACAAGTTAGGAATTGCATCTCTTCATAATTTGCATGTATATTAGAAAAGTGATATAATGAAATAGTTCACTTCAGCAAACAGGATTTTAAACTGTATGTGTGTTAGTGAGAACTTCAGAATTTTTTTAAGAATTGATAAAAAATTAGGTCAATTCTTGGTTACCTATTTGAAGAAGTAGATAGATTAATTTTCCAGGGTTTCTAAGTGAACTTGAGGTATTTTTATTATCAGAAAATATATGTGTATAGTGTATATTTGTTTAATTATGTATAACAAGAACATATGTTATATATATATATATATATATATATGTACACACACATACATAGTCATACAAATATGACTCTTGCTGATGTGTAATGTAGTAGTGACCTTGATATAAATATGATTGATCAAAACAGTTTATATTTTGTAGGAGCAAAATATTACAGTTAGATTAAAATTTGTTATTTTGTTGATGGTATAGATTTTGAAAACCTATCATAAATATAAAAGTTTTATTTCTACCTTGCCTCATTCTAAAAAGAGTTTGAAGCACATGGTCTTTATGTTAATCTATTCTAAGTGAGAATTGTTGTTGGAGCAAGTCTATGGTTATAGACACTTTGTTTTTATACCTATACATACTATAGATTTGCTCTTCTTTTGGGGAATATAGGATCTCACTATATAACTTGAACACATCATTAATGTAGTTTAGTTTGAAAACAAATTGCTGGAACTTTTTGATAATAATAAACACAGAGACAGCATAGAAGAGACAGCCTTCTTTGCACTCAGTGTCTAGCCCATCAGAAGGCATTGTGTTTGCCTTGCAGGTATCGGCGTTTCTGTGGCTATAGAACTGCTTTTCTTTCCATCACTATCATTTTACCATAGAGAAGAAACTAAACCTTCGATCAGATACGTAATTAAAAGACCCACTTGTGGAGAATTTATGTATAATAGTAACATTTGTTTTCCTCTCAGAAAAGTATTAGCAAGTATTGGGAACTAAGTGTTACTAATTTTAAGTAATTGTTCATCTTGTCATATGTGTGTGTACCTAAACCAAATGGAAAGGACTCTCTTGGTCAGTGAGTAATCCTATGATTTACCTTCAAGATGCAAATGCTAGTTAATTTTTACTATCTTGCTCTTTTGAAATTAGTGAGTCCTAATGTAGAGATTTGGAAGCAGGAGTGGCATCCACATCCTAAACTACATGCCTCTGGAAACTATGAACTTTGATGAATGACGATAGTTATAGAAAGGCTTCAGGCCTTCTGTTCATAGGGTCCTTATGAGTCGTGCTCGACTTGAAGGCAGTCAACAACACAACAATGTAGAGAGTGAGCTCTGGTGGCCTGTGGTAAGAATTTGCGCTGCAATTCCAAAGTCATGTGGTTCAAATCCACCAGCTGCTCTGTGGGAGAAGGATGGGCATTCTCCTCCCATGCTATTCATTGCCTCTGGAAACCCATTGAAGGGCCAGCTCTGGGTTGATTCCAACTCGATGGCACACAGCAACAGTATAGAGGACTTGCGCCCTCATGGTGTGAGTAAGGGATCTCCGGGGGTGTAATCCATGGTGAGCTGTGTTACAAACCCAAAGACTGGTGCCTCCGGTGGTTTGAATCCACCAGCAACAGCTCCTCAGCAGAAAGGTGGGCTGACTCTTTCTGTAATGACTTACAGTCTTGAAAATGTGTTGGAAGAAGCAACTTGATGGCAGTATGTTTAAAGGTTTGTTGGTTGGTGTAGTGAAAAATGTATCTGACTGCAAACTGAAAGCTTGGCTGGCACCAGCTGCTCTCTGGGGAAGTTGGATCGCTAAGGACACTGGCGGAGGGCCACTGGTTGGTTTAATGTTGAGGAACTATGATAGAGAACATAATCCCCTTTTATAATAATATAATCATTTAAAAGAAAAGTCCTACACTGTAGAATATTTGATAGCTAGGAGGAAGACCTGCCACATTTTGATTTGGCACAGAAATGTAACAAGATTCTTCTTTGATGATTTTTCCAACCTTGTTTTTTTCTCTTGTCATGATGTCAATCAGTAATACTATGGTGGTTGAGCCATCCGAGTCTCCTCACTCCATGGATCAGGTCACTAGCAAAGGAGCTTTAGGGTCTGTAGCATTTTCAGCCACGTAAAAAAACCACATAAAATACCATAGATCCTAAATAGTCTCATTTATTTAAGACATGAGTGTTTTCATGAATTACTTGTAGTTAAACAGTGATTTCTGATTTTGTTGGTTTGTGAGTAGATACCATAGTTCAAAAGTGTCCCTGGGAAGGCATGTGCTTCTCTGGATGGATCCTCAAAGGATAACTGTGTGCTTCTCCTAGATACAAGTCCACCAAAAGAAATGGTTACCCATAATACTGCCTCTTCCTCTGCCAATGCTGTTTGCTTTGGGCTCACAGTCCTGCTGAGTTTCTTCTGCTAAAACATAACTTACTCATTCCTACCCTTAGAAACACCTCTGAGAAGCATGGGAATCCCAGAACACTTGATCGTTCTAATGCGAAACCTATACTTGGACCAAGCGGCAGTCGTCAGAACAGAGCAGGGAAACACTGCATGGTTCAAAATTGGGAAGGGTGTACGTCAGGGATGTGTCCTATCTCCATACCTTTTCAACCTGTGTGCAGAACAGATTATCTGGCTGGGCTCTATGAGGAGAAGTGTGGTGTCAGGATTGGTGGAAGATCTATTAACAATCTGTGTTATGCAGATGACACAACCCTGCTTGCTGAAACTGAGGAGGACCTGAAATGCTTGCTGCAGAGGGTCAAGGAGTGCAACCTTCAATATGGATTGAGGCTCAATGTCAAGAAGACAAAGATTCTCACCACTGGACCAACTGGCAGCATCAGGATGGATGGTGAAAAGATTGAGATTGTTAACAACTTTAGTCTGCTTGTCTCCAATGTCAACACCTCTTGACACCAGTAGCCAGGAAATGACAAAACGCATTGCTATGTGAAAGTCTGCTGTTAGGGACCTATCCAGGGTACGGAAGAGCAGTGGTGTCATTCTAAAGACTAAGGTGCGTCTGATACAGGCTATGGTCTTTGCAATCACTTGTTATGCATCGAAGAGTTGGACAGTGACTAGGAAGGATAGAAGGAGAATTGATGCCTTTGAGTTGTGGTGCTGGAGAGTAGTATTGAATGTACTGTGGACTGCCAAGAAAACAAACAGATTCAACCTGGAGAGGTTTAAACCAGGCTGCTCCCTGGAGGCAAGGATTCTGAGGCCTCGTCTGACATACTTTGGACATGTTATAAGGAGAGACTGGTCCTTGGAGAGGGACATCATGCTTGGGAGGGTGGAGGAACAACGCAGGAGAGGAAGACCTCAATGAGGTGGATTGATTCAGTGACTGGGGTAATCGGGATGGGTGTGTCAGAGGCAGTGCGATTGGCACAAGATAGAGCAGGGTTTAGGGCTATTGTACATAGGGTCGCTATGAGTCACGAGCGACTGGATGGCACATAACAACAACAACCCTTAGAAACCATATTCATAATTAAAGTAACAACAGAGAATAAATAGTCTTGACTATTTCTCAGCATTTTATCACATCATTATAGATAATCCCAATTGAATATTATAATTAGTTTTGTAATTAGGTGCTAATTTCATTATTATCTATTGATTGCTATTATTGGTTAATGCTTATTGGTGATTTCCAATCTTTTTAAAGTTAGACACCTTCTAAAAAAAGTATTTTGTGGAAGCTCATTGTATAAATAAAAATGGAGCTTCTCTGATTAATGTGGGAGTTGGCCCAGAACCGCTGAGGTATCTGCATGGCTTCAGAGTAGGATCTGAAAACTCTGGACCCATCTTGCTTGCCAGCACCATGAGTACAGTGTATTCTGTCTGTCCGTTAACCTTCAAATCCCCAGATACTTTAAACAAAAGTTTTTTTTAAAGCCAAGGATAAACTGCATTCTTTGGGGTAGTCATACTGACTTTTCTTAGGTGTTCTGCATGTATATTTAGTATTTCCATTTCTTTTATGTGAAGGGTGGGTGGCAAGATTGTTTTCCTTTATTTTGTTTTTAACTTCATTGCAATTATCTAATATACTGGAAAGTACAGGAGGTGCTATATTCAGTGAGTTATATTTGGAATTAAAAGAAAATCAAATGTTCTAACACTTTTTAAAAAGAGCTGAATTAATGCTCTTCCTTTATACCAAATGCTACAGTGTCTGTTTTCTCAAGCAAATGGAAATTGACTAGATTTTAAATGTCTCAATGCAATGTACATTATTTGTCTTGCTAAATATTTATCATTATTTAGCAAGTACATTTATATAGCATTTTATAGGAAATATTTGCACGTTATATAAAATAGAAAGTTGATCTTGGTGATGATTGACGAGACAAATATGTTCAATGTGTTTTATTTGGCAGAAGATTTAAAAGGTTTTTGGAAGTAGGAAGTTATTAGATCCTGCCCATCTCCCTCAAGGAAAAAAAAATCATCTTTTGTTCTCTTCAGTCAATATTAAATATATCTACAAGAAAAGCTAGGAGTCAGACTCAGTATTTTACCATTAGCTAAGATTACTTTTCCTAGATTTTACTTTCTTCATTGATTCTGAGAAGACATAGTGTTCTCTTTATATTTGATATAAACTTAATTGTATTAGAGATGATGTGGATGGTGCGGGACAGAGCGGGGTTCAGATCAAGGTTCCGGGTTCATGTGATCCTGAGTCTTCATACTCCATGG